TATATTGGAGACTTTTCCAATTCACCCAAATTAATTACAACGGCCCACATCATTAAATAACATATTTAATGACTCAGATAAACATCATTAAATAACATATTTAATGATTCAAATAAAATTAAAGAACATATTTAATGATCCAAATAAATCAATTAATTCCAACACAAAGTTCCACAGCTTTTGGTCAACATCCTTATCAACGCTGTTATAATGTGATTTACTTCCACATAGCAATATAAACTAATCCATCCAATAGTATTTATCATCCAAAAAACTGCCAAATGTTTGTGAACTATATATTATTCTAATAACTGGTGATTTTGAATTTTGTTAAATTATATTCTTCTGTGCCTATTTTTTCAACAGCCTTGCAGATCCTGCTGATGAGTTGCAAAAGGCATATGAGCAATTTCTTCATCGTATGAAGCGACACAGAAATAAGAGAATTCAGGTTATTATAGATCATGCTCTGCAATATGCTTTTCCTATTGTTGCTATGTTTTCTAAACAACGGGAGATATATTGCATCACCAGGGAGGGAAAGCTAACATGTGTATTCCAAAGAATGATGAGGTTAAAGAAAAGAATGAGAGTGCTTGCGGAACTGATGAACAAACTGCTGGAGCTTGGCTAGGAGAATGTTCTTTAGAGATGCAACCACAGGCTGTAAATACTGAGAACATGATTAACCAGTCACAAATCTCTGAGAATGAAATGCCAATAGAAGAAGCAAATCATAAAAACATTGCAGCAAAATCTGGTAATATTGAATTGCTCAAAAATAGGCAACTTAAGAACGTGGTGGTGAGTGATTGTGGAGGCAAAAGTTATTTGGAAAAGAATAAAGTTGAACATGACAGAACTAGAAAATTTGGAAGTGAAGATACAGTTGTGGCTAAGTTTGTAGATACTGCCATTGTTGGGCAATCTAATGCAGAAGACTCGAGGCATCATGGTCTGGTGGAGCCCACAATTAACACAAAAGAGGCTATGAAAGCCATAAATGGCATGTTCCAAGAGCCATTGGAGCCATCTATTGCTTGCAGGAGGTCAGATAGAAGCCAGCCTAAAACTGATGAGATCTTCAAAAATGGAATCAAGGTTTACGCTGAGAACAGCTTAGAGACTGAGACAGTATCATGTCAGCAGAAACTGACAAAGGATTCATTAAAGCCACCACCAAGATCTGACTCTAATCAGCCTGTACACGAACCATTTCAAATATATATTGATGATGAGGAAAGCCATGAGGAGATTCAACTTAGCCATGAGGAGATTCAACTTGAAATCTCTAGTGAAGGTGTTAGGCATGGGAATGATATTCCATTTCCAATTCCAAAAGATCTTTCTGAATCCTCTAAAGATCTAAATCCTAGAAGGAGGCCTCAAGCTGGTCAACGGGAGGATACAGTTGTTTTTCGGTTTGTAGGATCCACCATATCTGACGAACCAGAGGTCGAAAATGTTTGCCATCATGGCCTGGTTGAGCCCACTATTAATTTGAAGCAGGCTATGACTGATATTAACAGCATGTTCGGAAAGCCAATAGAATTTGCAAGGAAAAGCAGGACAAAGAAGCAAGACAGAATAACAGATGTGAAGAACAGTTCTGATGGGTTTCTGATACTTCCAGATGACGAATTAGACAATGACAATGCTATGAATGATGTTAATAATATGTTTCAGAAGCCAATAGAATTTTCAAGGAAAAGCAGGCCAAATAACCATGATGATGTACCTAATCATGTCAAGATGACCAGTTGCAGTGGGTTTTTGATTCTTCCTGATGAGGAATTAGACAATGAACAAGGGAGCTCCCTATCAAGTTTGTCTTCTAGAAATGAACACGATCTGTTTGAACAAACTCTATGTACCAAGGAAGCAATGGCTGAAATCAGTAAAATGTTTGCAATGCCGATGGATATGTGAAATCTTGTAATTGATACAGGTATTGTTTCACAACGAATTTCATAGACTTGCCCGGTTTTGCAGTTGATATAATCTAATCTGATCATTTTCTTTAGTAGTTTATTTATTTATTTGTGATGTGCAAGTGTCTTGTGAGATTTTCACAAAATTTGCATACAGCTTTTATCGATGAATGAACTGAGATATTAAGAATTAACTCCAGAGCAGGACAAAAAACGAAGTTAAAAATATAAAATGATTCACAGCTTACAAACTCAACATTAGTTGAAAACACTGAACCAAATCAAGTAAATGGTAGAAACATGAATGTAGAGTGTAATTAGTCCTCAGGTTTAAGGGGAGCTAGTAATCAACTCATGGTTGTTCCTTGGGAGCGCAATGGGCTGGACGGAATGCCAAGGGGCCTGCAGCATATATTACAGCCTCATAATTTGTTCCAACTAGTTTCTTATCTTCATAACGAAGTGGAGCACCATAGAGTCCATAATTGATATTGGAGAGAAGATTGCAGTTTTCAAGCGGTGAAGATACCAATTTTACGCGGCATGAGTGAAGAGGATGATCCAATAGAGCATGTCTCATCTTGAATCCTAGAAGCTGTGCATAGAAATATCCATTGTTGTCTGTATGGAATGCCTTATAGAAACTGACTCGGTTTCTGTGGTCTTTGCAGATAACACTAACTGTGGCTGCTTCAATGGGCTCTGCTCCCGTCAAAGACCATGTTCCATAGTGATCACAGCTCTGGCAGTAGACTACTCCTTCTACCACCACGTCGACATGCTTCTCTACTGGTTTCTGAGTGCTTGTGCTATTTTCATGTGCAGTTATTGAGGAAACAGCCAACGAGAGGACGATAAATGAAACGAGCGTGGTGAGTTGGCTGCTTGCCATCTTCTTGGAAGGCGTTAGGAGGAGGAAGTTGGAAAGATTGTTTGGTGGTTTGTAGTATTGTATTCGGTACTCTATATATAGTTACTGGTGTGGCATTTGTGGGGTTTGAATTTTGGAGATCCTAACGTGGGTACTACTAAACTGCATTTGAATAATTTGTTTTGACAATTATTGGTAACGTGATTGCCACCTTCACGTTATGTTGCATATTTTATGTTAAATATCCATTATATTTACTTTTGTTAGAATAATTGCTTGTCTAAAATTTGAAACTTTTGTATTTGATTGGCTTTATTTTCTATGGAAAATGTCATTTTTCCATTTGAGTTTCTATTTATGGTGTGTTTGATTAATACTTTTTCATGGTAGTTTTTTCTCAAAAGTTGGTCATATTTTCCTCAAATATAAGGAAAACATTTTCTTTATAAGGGATTGGTTTTTATTTTTTTAGATAATTCGCACTTCCAAATAACTCAACCTTATAGAAAAGTACAATATTTTCTAAATTAAAAATTATGCCAGTCGAATATATTTAATTGGCAATTTTTCTGTAAATAAGTTGTTGGCAATTCAATTGCTTAAAATTTATTCCTTTTCATACAAATTTCATATTTGTAATCAAATACTTCCAGAGCTAATGATCAACTTATATTAGATAAATTGATTACAATGTAGATAATTTACACATTGCATGATCTTAAGATTTAAACGATTATAAGATCTAGAGTCGAGAATAAAGGATCGACTTTGGTATTAAGATTTTACTCGTTTCCGCTCTTAGGTGGTGAAGTGGTTAATACTTTGAATAATTTACTCATTTCATGATCTTTTAGAAATGCTAATCATCCTCATTTGGGATGCATTCCCAATTTATGTGGCGTTAATGTGGTATTAAATGATATGTGAAATTAAATAAGTCATTTAATTTTACCTATCATTTAACCAATCATTTACATCCACTTAGATTGGGGATGAATAACATTTTTCTCTTTTATAATATCAAGAGTCAATAATAAATGACCGAACTTGGTATCATGGTCCCACTCTTTAGTTTTAGCGATTATGAAATCAATAGTCATTTAATATAGAGTTGATTTTTAACCTAATTGATATTCAAGTGAATTAAGTTAAACAATAAATACTTTCGCATAAATCAACACAAACTAGTAGTTGCCATTTCCCATGGAAAATCTTAATGCTCGGAGTCTTCATATTTAGAATTTTGGACTTTTAATAGATGGATCTGCTTGTAAAATCGGAATTCGACTCTAATCCCCCGTTTGACAATCATTATTTGTAAAAACAATGTTTTGAATAGTGATTTTTAAAAGAATATATGATTAAAAAGTAGGAAAAATTTATGTACATAATATTTTATTGTGTGATTGAAAATGAGCGTGTAAAAAAAAGAGTTCTCAAATAATGGCTAAATATTTTATTCGTTTATATTCATATCCGTATAGGAGTTCATAAATTTGGCTTACAAAAAACACTTGTTTTGCATGCTCGAGATGAATTAATAATATATTTGAGTATAGTCAGTCTAGTCGACAATCGAATTTAGAAAATTGTTGGAAATGGTTGTTCAAAATGAATAAATTGAGTTTGGAATGAAAAATGGTGGTGGAGGCCAAATTCTTGGCCTATGCGACCACATAGGCCAAAGGGCCATGCAGTCGAATGGCCCTTAATAGGGATTAAAATCCCTGTACTGAGCTCTTCTATGAGACCGCATAAAGTTGCTCTATACGGTCGGATAGAGTAAATTTTTGACCATTTTTTACCGTTTTATAGCCGTTGTGGTTTTGAATTTGGTGGCTTTTCATTACATTTTAGCACAATTTTATACCAGACTTCCAAGGGCTATAAATAGGTAGTCCTAGTTCATTTGGAGAGGTTGCAAAATTACCTTATTAAATCATATATCATTCCAAAGCAATAGAAATCAATTCTTTTCTTCTCCATATTCATTTTTTCCCTCTCGTGTTCTCAAGTTTGGGTGGAATTACATCTTGTGCTTTGGTGTAATTCTGCAAAAAGGCTCGATTACTCCTACAAACCATTTGCCAGAAACCCTTAAGCATCTCAATCAATCTGAAGAGGGGGCAAATTTAATTCGAAGATAGCGATCACACGTTCGGGCCTTCAATGTTCATTTTATCAAGTTTAATCCTGGTTTTGTTCGTGTTTGTTTACTCCTTGTTGCAATATTTTGGTGTGTTTCTTCTCCAATTTCGGTACATCAACAACAATCTCAAACTAAATTTTTTGCGATGGAGAGCGAAACGACAATGGCGACGATAAAATTGATGAATCAGGATTTGGTTCCCTTAGATCGTTTAAATGGCACAAACTTCACGCGGTGGCAAGACAAGTTAAAGTTTCTTCTAACAGCGTTGAAGATTTTTTATATACTTGATCTGGAATTGACACCGCTACCCGAACCAACAAATGGAGAAATCGAAGCCATAAAAGCGGAAATGCAAAAGCGCCAAGAAAATGAATTGATATGTCAGGGCATATTCTCAACGCATTGTTGGATCGCCTATATGATTTGTACACCAACACAACTTCGGCAAAGGAGATTTGGAACACCCTAAAGAGTAAGTACAAAGCGGAAGAGGAAGGTACCAAGAAATTTCTGATTTCGAAGTATTTTGACTTTAAATTTCTTGATAATATTCCATTACTTCCGCAAATTCATGAAGTATGAGTGATTGTCAACAAGATGAAGGTGGTGAAGATTGAAATCCCGGAGACCTTTCAAGTGGGGGCTATAATTGCAAAACTCCCTGGGACTTGGAATGGATACCAGAAGAAAATAATGCATAGTTCCGAAGATTATTCTTTGGAACAATTGCAGAAACATTTGTGCATTGAGGAAGTGTCAAGAATGAGAGATAATAATGAAAACTCTTATGAAGGCACTTCCAAGGCTAATGCGGTGGAGAAAAGTGAAACCGCCTGCGAAATCCAATAGGAGGAAGCTTTTTAGGAATTTCAACAAGTCCAAGAAGAAGACCAAAAAATGATGTTTTGTGTGTGGAAAACCTGGTCACTAGGCAAAATATTGTAGACATTGGAAACAAAACAACTCTGATTGTAAAATAAATTCCATCCAAGAAGACAAGATAGTGGCCACCGTTAGCGAAATAATCGCGATCAAGCGAAAGGTTCCCGGGTGGTGTTATGATACGAGTGCAACTGTGTATGTATCATATGACAAATTTTTATTCACTACATACCTTTAGATGGATGGAAACCAAGAGATCCAAATGGGCAACGAGGTTCGATCAAAAGTAATTAGCAAGGGAAATGTCAATATCATCTTCAGTTCCGGGAAGACCGTTACTTTAACAGATGTATTTCATGTTCCCAACATGAATAGGAATCTAGTGAGTGGAAATCTCTTGGGAAAATCGGGCATAAAAAATGTATTTGAGTCCGGTAAACTTGTATTATCCTTTAACGGGAAATTTGTTGGAAAATACTATTCATGTGAAGGAATGGTCAAATTATGTACCGTTGACAAATCTTTAAATAATACAGTTGAATTTTCTTACATTGTTGATTCTTTTTCATTGTGTCATGCTAGATTAGGTCATATTGATAAAAGTACAATGAAAAGAATGATAAAATTGTTGACCTATGGTTGAAGACTCGTTTTGATTATCACAAACAAAATTGTATATATCACTAACAAATTGATTTCAAATGTCTTTAGCGATTATTGAAAACAAATAGAATTGACAACATGAAGATTCGAGACGATAGCGATTTGCATGCGACGATCGAATTGGAACTTAAAGATTCGCAAAATATGCAAATCAAGATACAAGTCAAAAGAACGACAAAGTCAAGACGATTAGACATTGTACAATCATATATAAGGCCATGTTTGATTATGTAGATTTTCCATGGAAATTGGAAAACAAATCCTATTTCCCTCCAATTTGTGTGTTTGATAGGGTAAAAATTACCTAGGTTGCTGCTGCCGTTCTTTTTCTTTCTTTCTTTCTTTTTTTTTTTTTGGTGGCAATGAAAACAAATTTAATAACCAGTTGTAAATTTTTTTTTTTT